TATTATAGAGGGACGGAGTTCTGACGTTAATCGACGACAGACCGATATGAAAAAAAGTCGATAAAACGTCAGAATAATTCGGACTACCACGGTACAAGAGATGTTCTGGGTATGCTAAACTTTATAACCACGGCCCAAGCGATGTTCTAGGTCTGCTAAACTGTATAACTTCGGCCCAAAAGATGTTCTGTGGCTGCTAAACTTTATAACCACGGCCCAAGAGATGTTCTGTTGCTACTAAACTTTATAACTACGGCCAAAGTGATGGTCTGTGGCTGATAAACTGTATAACCACGGCACAAGAGATGTTCTGGGTCTGCTAAACTTTACAACCACGGCCCAAGCGATGTTCTGGGTCTGCTAAACTGTATAACCACGGCCCAAGCGATATCGTGGGGCTGCTAAACTTTATGACCACGGCCCAAGTCTCGGTGCCGCTAACCTCAGCCGGATACACGTCCCAAAGCCACAAGCTTTATTACTACGTCTGAAATATATTTTAACTGACGCAGTAAAACTATTCTTACAGAAACTTCTCTGAATTATACCTTAACTAAAAAACAGGATTTATGGGAGTATTTTAAAGTTTGTCTTTAAAACTGGAGTGCGTGAAACGAATTTATATGTTAAAGGTTGTTTGGACCATTAGTATTTTACTTGTTTACCTGTGAGGACATTCTTTCCTCAGATAGATATTAATTCCAGTTCTGTATATACATGTAGCTAGATTAGCCGTGATTTACCTCAAATCTGCTTCGGTACATAGGCTAGATTAGCCGTGATTTACCTCAAATCTGCTTCGGTACATAGCTAGATTAGCCGTGATTTACCTCAAATCTGCTTCGTTACATAGCTAATTAGCCGTGATTTACCTCAAATCTGCTTCGGTACATAGGCTAGATTAGCCGTGATTTACCTCAAATCTGCTTCGGTACATAGCTAGATTAGCCGTGATTTACCTCAAATCTGCTTCGGTACATACGTAAATTAGCTGTGATTTACCTCAAATCCACGTTACTTTTCGTTCTTTTTATTTCCCAGAGTCAACAGGTCTAACCGTAATTACAAGTAGACCTAGTTCTCTTGCGTTTTTAAAGAGTCAAAAACATTCACACAAGTCAAACAACAGATAGGTGGAGACGTAAGTGCATCGGTCAAATGTTATTTACTTCGAATAGAAAAATGTTCACCTGTCAGATCATACGAAATATGTATGGTAATAAGTATCTAAAACTGTCACAACAGCGTCAGACTTAACACCGACCGTCGATAAAAGCATTTCTATGACTGTAAACAAGTACTAGCTACGTGTCAGTTTAAACAAAACTATCTAGTTTATGTACATCACAATAAAGAAAACATCAAACCACAGTATTTGTAGATACATGTATGTGTTCATCAAATCACAATATTTTTCAATGAAAAGCGATTTATTGTTTTGTGATACGTGTCATGAACACCCACAGGAACGGTGGTCCAGTGATGACGTCAGTGAGGGCCAGCCTTACCGAGTTTGATTTGTTGGTATTTTGTATCGTACAATGCTATACATGTATTGGTATGTGTTGTAATGGTCATTTCGTGACAGAACTATCTCTGTTTTGTCTCTCGTTCTATAAACATGTTGTGCGGAAAGCTCTCCATGTATAAGTCGAGTGCTAACGCAATCAGTGCTCACTCATCAAATTCTAACACATAAACGGAGCATGCTTTGACTTGATTAACTGATTGGGATTCCACATAACACCATTTACAGAGCTGTATATATAGGTTACCAACAGCCCACCAACAATTCATTAGTGTGAACACCGAGGAATGTGCTGACCAACAACGGACTCCTAAGTAAGTTTTTTAAACAAAAGTAATGTGATCAGTCCAGGTTTGCGGGAAACCATGGTTAATTAATTGTATACAAAAACAACATACTAGTAATTACGGGAGCCTACTCCTCGCGCGAAGTAATTTAATTGTTTAGATATTACTTGTTCGCGGTACTGTTTTAAATCATGAACTTAGAATTACTAAGTAGTTTATGGTGATTCGTGAAATTCAATTTTGAAACTTAACGATTTTTTTTTAATGAATAGTAATATATTACTATTAACAATCGAATAATGATTCCTATTAGACACGGGACAAATAGAACACGGAACATCGTCCGCCGCTTGCTGGACTGGAATCACAATCTCTGATTTCATCCACTTCCAAAGATAGTGTGATAACAGACTAGTTTAAGCGTTTTTGTTTAAATATATACAAATGCAACTTTATAACCTCCTTGTTTTGAAGAATTCAAGAAATCTATTTTGTCAATTAAAACGTTGAGTGCCCACCATACCTCGTGACTTCACGACAGAGCCGTCCCGGAAGTGAATTCGCCGTAGGGAACACTTGCAATATTGATATTCGGGCACGAACTAATTGATAAATCATCGATGATTAAGTGACTACTGTGACATAAGAAGTCTGTACGTAATGCGCTGTCTTAGACCTCCAAACTGAGTAGGCGACGTCATCAGGACCCCGTTATGACAGACACGTGGTAGAACGATTCACCCCCAACATTCCAGCTACATCGTAGATGCGCGACTACGACACCGTAGCCGTGTGGACATTCCTCTGTCAAATATAGCATGTCAATGTTACCAGGAAATCTGAATATGTTGACAAATAATAAAAGGTCCGTGCCACTCTAAACACAAAAATATGGCATTTGAGTAAAAGTGTCGATCGCGTGTTTCGTGATGTAAAGCAGCCCCGCGAAAACCCGAACCTATAATGAAACAACCGGGAAGACACTGTTAGTGCCGGGTATCGGGTTCCGCGGTTCAACAATACCAAAAAACTCGGAACAAAAGGAACTGTGGGTTCGCGGAGACATGATAGCAGAAAAAGTCGATGTCTGTTTTCCAACTTTTTCGTAAACTCGTGGCATGAGCTGGCGTTTACATAAACTTGTAAAATGACTATAACTCAAAATACATTGAGAGCAGGTCCCTATGATATCAACCAACTATAAACTGAATTACAAAGGTTAGGCGGTTTCTTCATTAGCTACATTTTAGAGCAAGTTTACTTTCAGACTAAGCATTTCAGAATGTGTCATGCTTTAAGACATTGATAGTTGATAGACTTAATGCTAGCTTTTTGACCGGTGATAGTTAATAGACTAAATGCTAGCTTTTCGACAGGGTGATACATGTAGTTGATAGACTAAATGCTGTTTTTTTGGACGGTGATAGTTGATAGACTAAATGCTAGCTTACTGACCGGTGATAGTTGATAGACTTAATTCTAGCTTTTTGACAGGTGATAGTTGATAGACTAAATGCTAGCTTTTTGACAGGTGCTAGTTCATAGACTAAATGCTGGCTTTGTGGCAGATTACATTTAAGTCTAAAGCTTAGCTTTCACTGGTGGTGTTTATAAAGATTTAAATACTTGTCTTATACTTACTGTAGCGCTTTATGTGTTTGATATATATTGAAAAATTGGCGAAAGTTAGCGGGAAGCCACCTTGACGTTTCCTGATACGTACGTACTATACATGAATATATTGGTCTCAATCGATCTCTGTGGGGAAGGATGTCCTCCCTACTTCCTGTTACCCGATATGGGTGGGGTGTATCCCGCAGATGACCGGGTCCAGGCAATACGGCGATCGATTTCACACCGCGATCGATTCTTATGGCTCCGTCAAGCGTTTCAACCAACAAAAAGTGATTTATGATGAATGGCTTTTATTTGGCCCGCTATAAAGTCACAACCTCTCCGTAACAAGACGGATCTCGATGGATTGTTTTGGCAATCGATCCGGACTTTGGCATTAATGTTTTCTTATATTGAATATATTGACTTGATTAATGCTAAATTGATTATGTATGTTCACAGGGAGTAATTGTTTACGTGTTAATGAAGAAATGTGTTTATGTATATAATTGTACATACATGTATATCATACCACCGAGAACGGTATATCCCCTCGGCCGTCCGGTGGTGGTACGCTAGAACGGTATATCCCCTCGGCCGTCCGGTGGTCGTACGCTAGTGCATGTAAAATTTAGCTTGGAATCGTGAATGTGTGTACTAAGTGTTTCAATAGGTAAAAAAATGTTAATAAAATCAGAGAATAAAATTGCCAAATACTGTGTGTACCTGGCGCCAGAAACGTTATCTGTATGAAAGTTACAATATAGCTCATTGCTTGATGTAGTTTTGCCTTTAACTTGTATTAATTGTAATTGTCTCTCGATTTGAATCACTTGGTATTGAAATGTTGATGGGAGATGGCTTCATAAGTTGCAATAGCTTGTGCCAAATTCCTTGTACCCATTTGGAAAATAAATATGTTTTAAGTCAAAAGTCTTTAACTGTCTTCACACATAACTTGACGCCGTACGTAAGTTATCTAACCTTTTTCTTGCAGCTGATACATCGTACAGAATCATTACCTGTCTGTGACGTTTGAGAGGCTACATCGTACAGAATAATTACCTGTCTGTGACGTTTGAAGGGCTACATCGTACAGAATCATTACCTGTCTGTGACGTTTGAGAGGCTACATCGTACAGAATCATAACCTGTCTTTGACGTTTGAGAGGCTACATCGTACAGAATCATTACCTGTCTGTGACGTTTGAGAGGCTACATCGTACAGAATCAGTACCTGTCTGTGACGTTTGAGAGGCTACATCGTACAAATGTGACGTTTGAGGGGCTACATCGTACAGAATAATTACCTGTCTGTGACGTTTGAGGGGCTACATCGTACAGAATCAGTACATGACTGTGACGTTTGAGGGGCTACATCGTACAAACTAATTACCTGTCTGTGACGTTTGAGGGGCTACATCGTACAGAATCATAACCTGTCTGTGACGTTTGAGAGGCTACATCGTACAGAATCAGTACCTGTCTGTGACATTTGGGAGGCTACATCGTAAAAAAACCAGTACCTGACTGTGACGTTTGAGGCATTCTGAACGCAGGCATATATCTGCCTCTTTAAATAAATTTTTTTTGATGTGACGTCACTCCAATGTTGTTGTGAATCTCCTTTCATCACTTTCCCAAAAATCATCAATGCGGTTTCCGAATGCTATTAGATTTGGTGCTTGAATAACGTTCTCGGGCACATTGTGACCCCCGACTACGAAGCACAGGTTCTTCATACCAGTGTATGTTGAACTGACATATATATAAAAGTTAAGAAATAGGTACACGAAATGTGACATGCAAATCACGCGAGCCTGCGGCAGTTGTTAACCGACACAGGCGTGTCATGTTTTGGAAATTACCGATGGTATTTTAAGTTGCTTAGAGTGATCGCCACGCCATCCGTCAGAGGACATGATATGATGTTGCAGAGTGTTACATAACTCGATATGTATAATCGATGTATATCCCCGTCCGTTAGTGGAGCTGGACACTAACACAGCTCGTCACAACTGTTCCATTGCATCTAATGTTCCGGATCTTACTTCCCGGCCTTCCGACTCACGGTTTAGTGTGTACGAGACGATCACTGACAGGTACCTGACCAGCCGACAGGTGTTCACTTCCAGAGGTGTGACATTTACAGAAATGCAACATGTTTTGATGATGTGATCTAGAGACCTGTGCAGTGTGCAGTGCTATCGTACCTGCAGAGTTTAAGTGATACTTCTGGATTAACGCACAAGTGCTCTTACTTGGGATATATGTCTATAATTCGTTGAAGGTAAGTCTGTATGAAATATCTGTAAAACGCGTGTTTTTACATAAAGATACATGTATTAGCTATTAAGAGTACAAGTAAAAAGCTATGTTAAAGCTACAGGGTGACAAAAGTAAGATGATACCCCGGGAGAATGTCAATCGTTTTAAAATGTTTTTACTTTAAAGCATATTACTTCAATACCTATATGAGGGTGATGTATATATTATTCTTGTACAATAACTCTCCCGTGTGTTTTTTTATGTAAATTATCCCCTTGTAGTATATTTTTGTGTATAAAGACCACATTGTAGGTTTCATTGTAGTGGGGTTATTTTTTCTGTCAGATTTATGAGTAATTTAAAACAAGATCGGTACGTAACTGGCTCAGTTCGAGAGGGTATTACGTTCTACAGAATTAGAATACAAGAAATACCTTAATCCTAGTTAAATGTGAGCGTCATACCGTGACTATCAGCCTATAACTTAATTCAGCATATCAAAAGATTTCATAATGTTAGGTTGCATGAACAATGAGAATAGACGGGAACTATCGGCACATATCCGGAGAACAGGAAATATCATCCGATCATCTACATTGTACTTCAAATTACGACCAATATGTTCTTAATTGTCTCAACACAACTACTTTGTATCAACACACCTGTATCAGGACCGGAGCCCGCCCAAAGTTCGCCAATACTTCTTAAAACAACTTTATTCGCATTAAGTAGTCCCGAAAAATGACATATGTATACCTAGTTCGTTTGATGTGTATGTAGCTATGGAAATATCTGTTGCTGTTCAGGTAGACGATTCTAATTAAGCTTAGATGTTAATTCGTCAGAATACAAAATGCAGGTCGTAATACCATAAATAGCGTGGTAACATGACTTTTAATCTAGATAGGTAAATGGAGCCGTATATTATGTTTTATACATGTTAGCGTTACAGATGTAAACATGTGATTTCAGACTAGCGTGTTGGTATACATTATACAGGTATATAGAAATACGAGCATAAGGTAGCTACACTGAAGTATGTATTGTCCTGTAGACATTGTTTGATAAACGTATACATGTATACCTAAATATGTGACAGATCGTCTAAATAGTTCATATGTCAGGTTAACCCCCTACACACACACGCATATACTATAACATATAAGTTACGACTAAGAGCGATTGCACAATATACGAAATGTACATATTCTACACTATAACCAGTACGTGGCATTGCTTCGGTCTCCGGCCGACAACTTTTCCTTTTAAATGCTACTAGTCCAGGACGACTGAAAGGATGTTGACTAAATTTTGTCTGGACGGTTAATGGGCGAAGGGGACTAAACGTTGCACACACGGAAGACGTGGGTTCACTAGGAACGGAGGGGCGGACCAAAAAGTAAATTAAGGCAAATATTTAAAATATTACACCTTCTGTACTGATCAGGGTATTTCGATCAAATTGGGTCTGGGGTATCTTAGGGCCAAGTAGACTCCACGTCCCTCTCACAGCTCTATAACCGTATAGCCAATCGCTGTCCATGAACAAATGGGAAAAAAATCATACTACAAGGATTGACCTCTGGGGACCAGCCCCGACTCTGGTGGCTTTATCATGTGACACCAAGTTTGATATTCCAACATCATAACTATATGAGCACAATCGTCGAGGCTGTATGACAGTGAATAAAGGGTTTTAGAATCTGAATGTATGACACATACGTCATATCTGGCTGAAACACTAGATAACATTTACGATGGAATGTCTTTATTTCTACAAAAACTTGTTTTGCAGGGTTGCTTTTATGGCCAAATGCTGAAATATAGGTTGACATATTTTATAATTCCATGAAAGTTCACACCCTCAGTCCTGACCTTTATGTAACCCGGATTAACGCGGCCCTACGTCGATCATTACGTCACAGCGTACATTTCAGCTGACCTTAACCACGACAGTTACACCATGTATTATTGCCACCCATTGGTATATATGTATTATCTACACTGTATTGTTAATGAGAATAAAACAATTGTCATTACTGTAAACGACGTACATGCCAGGTTCGTCTGCACTTTTACGTTCTCCGCGCCGCTGGAATAGGTCATAACGAAATCGAACACTCTGCACGCGCCACTTTGTGGAATCTTGATAGTGATTTCAGAGGTGCAGAGTTTCAAGGATGGTACAGTTTATTATCTGGCCGTCCTTAGTGAGCGATGGTGAGGGATCCTCCATCCACAAAACGCCGATTAATGGGACAGAAACTAACTTTAGTAGTGTCGACAATTGTGAGTGGGACTGATCTATCGGGAAGGTATTGTACGGTCATTAGACTTACATTACATTCTTATTTAAGTTGGACTTGAGAAGGTATTGTACGGTCACTAGACTTACATTACATTCTTATTTAAGTTAGACTTGAGAAGGTATTGTACGGTCATTAGACTTAAATTACATTCTTATTTAAGTTAGACTTGACATTCCTCTCCTCTACGATACACTCCGATACAATTACACACCAATACATTCTACTGGAGTTCGTAGAGGAGCGAAATTGCAAGTCTAATTTCAATTAGATTGATTTAAAATAGTACATTTGGAAAGTTTTGATTTGCGTGCAACTATTGATTTCCTTACATGTCAGCTACGACGCACTCGAGTCCGAAGTGTTCAGCTCATAGACGATTTTTTTTAAGGTTTGATAAGGAGAAATATATTTTACATAAGAATAGGGGGTTGGGGTGAGGATGTCGATCAGGTTATCTAACGCGGAAGCGTCGCGCTACACGTCACCCGGATCCAATGTCTCCAGATATTACTCAATAGATTAACTGCTATTAGTCCGGATCAGTGGTACCGTGCTACTGGTATCATATTGTGTAAAAACACGCACGTTTAGTTATAGGTACAGGGAACGAAATGGTCTAGGAAAAACATTCTGAATTCTTACAAGCTACGACACATGGGGCTTGATTATCAGATACCCTAGTGTGACTGTCAGCGCGTGTTGTATATACGTCACACTGTAACTACACACAGCATAGTCGTAATATAGAACATGAAGATGTTTAATCCTGTTTTACAACGGTAAGTTCGTTTCGATGTGATTTCGTTATGACAATCGCGGATAAGAATCAAAATGTTACGAAATTACGTCTCAGATATGTTCGGGGGGATAGTCAAACACTACAACAAGAACACGTCTTAATGTGGATGATTTAGAGTACACGACCTTAAAACTTGTGTACAGTTATGCATATACAATGTAGACAAAACAATGCTTTTGACTTTTGTTCAGAAATATACAATATAAACTAATACATCCTTTAGACTTTTATACCGCGATATACAATGTAGACAAAATAGAACTATATAAATCGCTATTCACGATATGGGACAGCATGACGTGGTCCCAGAGGATCGTATTGCCCGACATACATGTAGTAGGATATCCATTAGTTCCATGTAATCTCATTTCTCTTCATTTATCTGTTGGTTTGATAATCTTGTCAGAAGTAAACATAGCTTGTGGTAACTTTTGATTTAATATTTCTATAACGCTGGGTTTGAGACAGACCTTCAAAGTGAGGTCATTGTTCATTTTTAACTTCCTTAGTAATAGTGATAACAATTTTTTATTGAAATCTCAAAATCCAAGATGACAGCGGCCGTTTTGTTTTTCCAACTATTCCCAAAATGAAACATTCACAACAACCGGCCAAGGGAAGCCTCCAAATGAAATTTGAGAAAGATACATGTATGTCATGTCTTCTTGAGAAATAGCGAAAACAAGCTTGGGATCTCAAAATCCAAGATGGCTGTATGGCGGCCATTTTGATTTCCTGTAAGTCCCAAAATGAAACACAGAGCATACAACAAGGGACCAATGGAAACTTTCGTATGAAACTTGTGAAGAACTGTCAACTACTTCTTGGATAGCAATGATAACAAGAATTGTATAAGGACGGGGGACGGAACACGAAGAACAGGAGATTTAAATAGCCAACCATCTGATGATGATGATGATGGGCATATAATCCTAAATACCGCTATAAAAGATATAGAAAACAATCCTATGTATCACTATACACAAGATTCGTTGCACTTTTAATTACCAATACGTGTAAGAGGATTTGTTCGACTACCTCCGGGAAATAACAAGCATATCTCCATTTGCTACATAACCTCGGAAATAATTAAAAGCTGACGGACCCAAAATTAACAGATAACTATTATTAATCAATCATTTGTCATTACGAATATATTGTAGCAGTATAAGCCTGTATGTCATCAGGAAGTCGTACTGATAGAACGGCCTTACTGAACAGTGGTTTGGTGTAGGAGTCTTGACGTCGGAGTAGCGCTAAAAAGTGACTTGATGTGGGAGTTGTGACGTCAGAGTGGCGTTGAATTGTGACTTGGTGTTGGAGTTGTAAGGTCAGAGTGGCTTTGAATAGTGACTTGTTGTGGGAGTCGTGATGTCAGAATAGTGCTGACTAGTGACTTGGTGTGGAAGTTGTGACGTCAGAATAGTGCTGAATAGTGACTTGGTGGGGGAGTCGTGACGTCAGAATAGTGCTGAATAGTGACTTGGTGTGGGAGTTGTGACGTCAGAATAGTGCTGAATAGTGACTTGGTGTGGGAGTCGTGACGTCAGAATAGCGTTGAATTGTGACTTGATGTGGGAGTCGTGACGTCAGAGTGGCTTTGAATAGTGACTTGTTGTGGAAGTTGTGACGTCAGAGTAGTGCTGAAGTGTGACTTGGTGTTGGAGTTGTGACGTCAGAGTTGCGCTGAATAGTGACTTGTTGTGGGAGTCGTGACGTCAGAATAGTGCTGAATAGTGACTTGATGTGGGAGTCGTGACGGCAGAATATTGCTGAATAGTGACTTGGTATTGGAGTCCTGAGGTGACTTAGCATGAGTTTATCCTGAGCGGAAATTTAAACTTTGTTGTTATGCGATCCAAACTGTTGGTAATTTTCACTAGGAAGATTTGTTGTGAAGTGTTGCATGTTACACTGCATTTTATCACATACCTGTTGAATCTTGTTATAGTAATACAAGCAATTTCAGAGCATGAAATAAAACGTTCTGTATTGCACATGTGCAATACGGAATGTTGTATTTACCTACAAGCCGGAACTACTTTTTATTGGAATCCCCTTGTCATGGCGAACTGAAAAGTTTCCGGTATTTGCAAAAAATATCAAAGTTTATAAAATCTTTGTATCGATCTCAACCATATACAGAAGGTACATTTTGTATGTGATAAAAGCAAGACCCCACACTTGTGTTTTTCTAACGAATCAGAAAGTATTAACTCGTGCCGCCCGCGCACTCATGAATATATTCGTCCGCTCGTACACTCGTGCTTTCTGATTCGTTAGAAATGTATATAGTATATATATAGTACATTGTATAATTTCCGCCATGCACCTGTGGCTTGCGTGTACATTTGAAGGAGATTTGGTTGGTTTTACTTACATTGTCAACAGCCGAAACCTGTCACACACCTTATGATTAATACCGATCTGGTCTTTCCTTTGTTCATTCGGGCTGTAATTTGTTGGGGTCATATTCAGATATCATCAGTGCATACGTCGTCCTCGAGGTCACTGCTTACAGCGAACCATAGGTACATGTATGACCTGGTAAAAGTTTACAACGTCACAGGCGAACTATTTTATAACACCTGTGGCCTTTACATGTGTTAGTAGTAAACATGACACTTCATATATACCGACATATATTTTACTGCTATTCATTGAAATTTAAATATGCTTACTAATAAATACAGTTTTTTTGTACATACGATACGACACGATTGCTCTAAACCATATCAGCCGTCGCCGTATCACACCCCAAAACCCGTAGAACCCGTATCACACCCCTTTTGGAACACTCCTAATTTTTCCTACATGTATCTTTGAAAAAAAAAAATCATAAGATAGCAGATCTATCCATATTTTATTAGTAAGTATGTAATAAACAGAATAAAACATGCCTTTTCCATATCACCCTCAGTATCAACCTTCGACCAATATCAGCCCTCGGACCCTCGGCCCTCAGGCTGATATTTGAGTCTCGGGTTGATACTGGGTGTGATATGGTAAAAGGCATGTATTATCCTCTGTATCGAAATCAGCAGGTAGGAAGAACATGGAATGGTAGTTGGCGGAGTCTCGTTAGGTATGTATTTACTGACCTTACTGTTTTGTCCTATACCAGTATGTAGACGTCGTCAGCAACACAATGCTGTACATACAGGCACAGTGTACTTTCGTGGACATCGATTTTAAAGTCAAATGGAATGAATAACACGCAAGTCTACATTATTGTTCTTTCCGTGAGAGGTCATGATAATGGATTTAATAGTTCATGTATTGTGTTTATTTCAGAGCACATCTCGTTTCAGATGCTACTTCATTATACATACTAGGTTTTCTGCTGAGAAAAGTATCATTAATCGTCTCATCAACACCCAACAAAAATGCTACATGTAAACCTAGCTAATAGTCACAGAAAAGTCCGTTTGTGGCAAAAATGAGATAATCAAATGCTGTTTTACTCGTTCTTCGGCGTGAACTGGTTTTTACAATAAATGTCAAACGATTCAGCACTTCATCATGTGTACACAAACCTGCTGATGTGATGTTATAATCACAAAACGTCTCAGGGTAGGGGGTGCGATGTTCACACACACGTGAGTCTCGGGGTATGGGGCGATGTTCACATTCGTGGGTCTCGGGGTATGGGGCGATGTTCACACTCGTGGGTCTCGGGGTAGGGGGCGATGTTCACACTCGTGGGTCTCGGGGTAGGGGGCGATGTTCACACTCGTGGGTCTCGGGGGATGGGGCGATGTTCACACTCGTGGGTCTTGGGGGAGGGGGCGATGTTCACACTCGTGGGTCTCGGGGGATGGGGCGATGTTCACACTCGTGGGTCTCGGGGGATGGGGCGATGTTCACACTCGTGGGTCTTGGGGTATGGGGCGATGTTCACACTCGTGGGTCCCGGGGTAGGGCGCGATTTTCACACTCATGAGTCCCGGTGTAGGGGGCAATGTTCACACTCATGGGTCTCGGCGTAGGGCGTTGTTTACACGTGGGACTCGGGGCAGGGGCGCGATATTCACATTCATGGTTCTCGGCGTTGGGGGTGCGATGTTCACACACGTGGGTCTCGGGGTAGAGGCGCGATATTCACACTCTTGGTTATCGGGGTATGGGACGATGTTCACACTCGTGGGTCCCAGGGTAGGGCGCGATTTTCACACTCATGAGTCCCGGGGTAGGGCGCGATTTTCACACTCATGGGTCTCGGTGTAGGGGGCGATGTTCACACTCGTGGGTCTTGGGGTAGGGGGCGATGTTCACACACGTGGGTCACAGGGGAAGGGGCGCGATATTCACATTCATGGTTCTCGGCGTAGGGCGTTGTTCACACGTGGGTCTCGGGGTAGAGGCGCGATATTCACACTCGTGGGTCTCGGGGTATGGGGCGATGTTCACACTCGTGGGTCTCGGAGTATGGGGCGATGTTCACATTCGTGGGTCTCGGGGTATTGGGCGATGTTGACACTCGTGGGTCTTGGGGTATGGGGCGATGTTCACACTCGTGGGTCCCGGGGTAGGGCGCGATTTTCACACTCATGAGTCCCGGGGTAGGGCGCGATTTTCACACTCATGGGTCTCGGTGTAGGGGGCGATGTTCACACTCGTGGGTCTTGGGGTATGGGGCAATGCTCACACACGTGGGTCTCAGGGGTAGGGGCGCGATGTTCACATTCGTGGGTGTTGGGGTAGGGGCGAGATATTCACACACGTGGATCTCGGGGTAGGGGGCGATGATAACACTCGTGGGTATCGGGGTAGGGGGCGATGTTCACACTCGTGGGTGTCGGGGTAGGGGCGCAATATTCACATTCGTGGGTCTCGGGGTAAGGGGCGATGTTCTAACTCGTGGGTCCCGGGGTAGGGCGCGATTTTCACACTCATGAGTCCCGGGGTAGGGCGCGATTGTCATACTCATGAGTCTCGGTGTAGGGGGCGCGATATTCACATTCGTGGGTGTGTGGGTAGGGGCGAGATATTCACAGACGTGGATCTCGGGGAAGGGGGCGATATTCACACTCGTGGGTCTCGAGGGAGGGGGCTCGATATTCAGATTCGTGGGGTAGGGGGCGACGTTCACACCCGTGGGTCTCGGTGTAGGCGGCGATATTCACACACGTGGATCTCGGGGTAGGGGGCGATATTCACACTCGTGGGTCTCGAGGTAGGGGGCGCGATATTCATATTCGTGGGGTAGGGGGCGACGTTCACACACGTGGGTCTCGGTGTAGGGGCGCGATATTCACATTCGTGGGTCTCGATGTTCGCACTCGTGGGTCTCGGGGTATGTGGCGATGTTCACACTCGTGGTTCTTGGGGTATGGGGCGATGTTCACACTCGTGGGTCTGGGGGTATGTGGCGATGTTCACACTCGTGGTTCTTGGGGTATGGGGCGATGTTCACACTCGTGGGTCTCGGGGAATGGGGCGATGTTCACACTCGTGGGTCTCGGGGTAGGGGCGAGATATTCACACACGTGGATCTCGGGGTAGGGGGCGATGTTCACACTCGGGGGTATCAGGGTAGAGGGCGATGTTCACACTCGTGGGTCTCGGGGTAGGGGCGCAATATTCACATTCGTGGGTTTCAGGGTTGGGGGCGATGTTCAAACTCGTGGTTCTTGGGGTATGGTGCGATGTTAACATACGTGGGTCTCATGGGTAGGGGCGCGATATTCAAATTCGTGGGTATCGGGGTAGGGGACGATGTTCAAACTCGTGGGTGTTGGGGTAGGGCGCGATTTTCACATTCGTGGGTGTTGGGGTAGGGGCGAGATATTCACACACGTGGATCTCGGGGGAGGGGGCGATATTCACACTCGTGGGTCTCGGGGTAGGGGCGCAATATTGACATTCTTGGGTCTCGGAGTAGGGGCCGATGTTCAAACTCGTGGTTTTCGGGGTATGGTGCGATGTTCACACACGTGGGTCTCCGGGTAGGGAGCGATGTTCATACACGCGGGCCTCGGGGTAGGGGGCGTGATATTCACACACGTGGGGCTCGGTGTAAGGGGCGCGATATTCACATCCGTGGGTCTCGGGGTAAGGGGCGCGGTTCGCACACGTGGGCCTCGGTGTAGGGGCGCGATATTCACACTCATGGGTCTCGGGGTAGGGGGCGTGATATTCACACACGTGGGACTCGGGGTAAGGGGCGCGGTTCGCACACGTGGGCCTCGGTGTAGGGGCGCGATATTGCCATTCGTGGGTCTCGGTGTAAGGTACGCGATATTTACACACGTGTGTCTCGGGGTAGGGGGCGATGTTCCCACACGTGGGTCTCCGGGTAGGGGGCGATGTTCAAACTCGTGGGTTTTGGGGTAGGGCGCGATTTTCTCATTCGTGGGTGTTGGGGTAGGGGCGAGATATTCACACCCGTGGATCTCGGGGTAGGGGGAATATTCACACTCGTGGGTATCGGGGTAGGGGACGATGTTCAAACTCGTGGGTTTTGGGGTAGGGCGCGATTTCCCCATTCGTGGGTGTTGGGGTAGGGGCGAGATATTCACACCCGTGGATCTCGGGGTAGGGGGCGATGATAACACTCGTGGGTATCGGGGTAGGGGGCGATGTTCAAACTCGTGGGTTTTGGGGTAGGGCGCGATTTTCACACTCGTGAGTCCCGGTGTAGGCGGCAATGTTCACACTCATGGGTCTCGGGGTAGGGGGGCGATATTCACATTCGTGGGCCTCGGTGTAAGGGGCGCGATATTCACATTCGTGGGCCTCGGTGTAAGGGGCGCGATATTCACATCCGTGGGTCTCGGGGTAAGGGGCGATGTTCACACACGTTGGTCTCGGTGTAGGGGGCGCGATATTCCAACACGTGGGTCTCGGTGTAAGGGGCGAGATATATACACACGTGGGTCTCGGGTTAAGCGCGCGATGTTCGCACAATTTTCACACTCATGAGTCCCGGGGTAGGGGGTGATTTTCACACTCCTGGGTCTCGGGGTAGGGGGCAAATGTTCACACAGGTCTCGGGGTAGGGGGCAATGTTCTCACCCGTGGGTCTCGGGGTAGGTGGCGATGTTCACACACGTGGGTCTCCTGGGTCTCGGTGTAGGGGGCGATGTTCACACACGTTGGTCTCGGTGTAGGGGGCGCGATATTCACACACGTGGGGCTCGGTGTAGGGGCGCGAAATTCACATTCGTTGGTCTCGGTGTAAGGGGCGAGATATATACACACGTGGGTCTCGGGGTATGGGGCGATATTCACACACGCGGGTTTCGGGGTAGGGGCGCGATATTCACACACGTGGGTCTCGGTGTAAGGGGCGCGGTTCGCACACGTGGGTCTCGGTGTAGGGGCGCGATATTCACATTCGTGGGTCTCGGTGTAAGGGGCGCGATATTCACACACGTGGGTCTCGGGGTAAGGGGCGATGTTCACACACGTTGACCTCGGGGTAGGAAGCGATTTTCGCACACTTGGGTCTCGGTGTTAAGGGCGCAATATTCACACACGTGGGTCTCGGGGTAGGGGGCGCGATATTCATACACGTGGATCTCGGGGTAGGGGTAATATTCACACTCGTGGGTATCGGGGTAGGGCGCGATGTTCAACTTAACAATGTCATCTTAACGGCAGGTATGTTCATTCTTAATAAACACTCCATTTAATGTGCGCACGAACATCCACATATGATGAGCCGTTATGCTTATTTACGGGTATAAAAGTGTTAAGCGACCCAGTGACATCCGCTAACAAATCTCTGACTGAAGGTTTAAGTTGGTACGCTAGTTTCTAGGTTGTAATGGTATAGATGTAAATGATGAGGTGCAGCGTTCCATTCCAATTGTTTATGCAGAAGACCTGGTTTTTTTTTATTCTTTTCTCAACTCCGACATGAACCAGGATTTGCCTTCTGACCTAACGGTAAAAAGTTGTGTTATTATTTTAAAATAAGTCACACATTTTATCTATAGAACAACATTTATCATGCACTTTGTCCGAGTTTGTTTCCAGGATTTCTCAAAAAAATAGTTCATTATTCGCGTATTTCAATCGAAAACTTCTCGTTTTTATGTCATTGTAAAAGTCTTGCTATTGATTGCGACGAGTAAGTGACTTCGTTGTAACTGAAACATAGATAGACGCCACTTCTACTACGATGGAAAAGTGGCCTAGAGCGTGGCCAATCGGGGACAATCGTGGGCCGAACGTGGGAGGATCTCCATGAGCGTGGTTTGGTCGGGATGGGTTCTCCCAGATCGGGAAGCTGCTCGTTCTCCCCGTGCTTATTGTGAACGTGCACAAAAGAACATAGTGGGAAAGCCATTATCGTACAAGCAGCTGAGAGCATCGTGGTGAGATCTCTGTGGTCGTAGTAAAAAGAAATGGTCCTGTACCTGTACGTCGTAGCGGCAACGTAATCCGTTCATCTTCGAAGTCGGGACAAAACTGAAGAAATGCTTGAACACCCCCGATTTATATAGACATCACCACAAATCCTACTGGACGCGTACAAGAAGCGTAATATGGTCGGCACCAGCATAGCGACATCGTCCTACAATCTTCTGGGTCTGTGTAACAACGTTGTATGGTCCTGTACGTTGTAGCGGCAACGTAGTAGAAACGACCGCTTGGTCGGCATTGATCTAGGTGTAATCGTAGCGGCAGCGTAGTAGAAACGACCGCATTGTCGGCATAGGTCTAGGTGTAATCGTAGCGGCAGCGTAGTAGAAACGACCGCTTGGTCGGCATTGGTCTAGGTGTAATTGTAGTGGCAGCGAGTGAGCAGCGCTTTAGACGTAGACGCATCGCAGTACAGTCGTGATGTAGTCTTTAATTTCCCAAATTGCTGGATTTTTTCAGATCGGGGATGATCGACATGGTCTTCGTAAGGTCGCAGAGCTGTGTGAACGGGGTTTGTCGCCGATCAAAATATGACTAAAGGATGAATTTATAAATTAAGATATTTTTTCTGCACGCCATAGTTATGTTTTGAAAGAAATGAAAACAAACAGTGGACGAGAACTCTGTGCATGCATGCATACATATAACAGTAAACATGCATACATATCATAGCAAAGCATACATACATACATACATACATACATACATACATACATGACATAGCTTAGCATTGTATAGAGTATTAGACAGGTAGTGATTAGTGGCTAATTATAGAGAACTATACCGCTGATGTACACGGGGGGG